CACCAAGGCCACACACCATTATCAACTGCACGGTGAAGCAGCCCACGCCGAGCTCCTGATGGGGAGGTGGAGCGCGGTGGATTGGGAGGTGGAGCGCGGTGGTGGTGAGCGTGGGTCGGAGGGCCGCCGCGACAACCTCGAGCGCATCGTCGACGGTCATCAGTTTCATGGTGGCCGTCTTCATCCTCGAGGGAGAGCAGGCGCGACAATGTCGGCGATGAACGGCGAACGTACGATACGGGCACGGAACATGAGGCAGCTGACTTTCTTTCTCCGTCCTTTATAGCAAAGAAAGAAAGAAAACAGACACGCCAAGGGAGGGATGGGAGGACGGCATGCCGCCTTTGCGCGCAGGGTTTTCTTTTTTGTGGCCCGGGGCGGCGTGTATATTCCCGAGCAAAGCCACCAGGCGTTTCCCTGTGTGTGTGTGTGTGTACACATATGCTGCTTCTGACGCTGTCCTCGCCAGCTCTCCTGCCTCGTCGTGCCGCGCTCGACCTTGCGGCGTCGGCAGGAATCACGACGCTGCTGCCGCCGCTGCCCGCCGCTGCAAAGGCTGGCACCTTCGCAAATATGGACGGCTCCAAGTCGTCGATGGCGGCTGGCGATGCCTCCAACGCGTGCCTCTTCGCCCAGCCTGGCTCGGGGATATGCATGGTGTACGAGAGCAGCGAGCCGAAGCTGTACTCGACGCCTGACCAGCGTGCGGCGCTCGAAAAGCTGCGGGCGGCCGCTGAGAAGCTCAGCGGACTCGGCGAGCTCATCGCCTCGTCGCGCTGGACTGCGATATCGCAGCTGCTGGGCGGCAGCCGAGACCTACGTGAGGCCGTCGGATTTCTCACGGACGACGATGTGTCGAAAAAGGCGGCGAAGAAGGTCTTCCTGGACCTCGACGGCGTGGCTCTTGGAGCGAGCAAAAGGGACGGCAAGGCGGCGCAACTGTACTTTGCTTCGTATTCGCGGGACATGCCCGAGCTGTTGAAGCTGCTGAGGTAGACGCGCACGCAAGCGGGTTTGGGTGATCGAAATATGTCCGTGTATTACAAAAAAATAGAGTTACCGTTTTTGCATTTTGGTCATTTTGGGTGAAATTCTGAAAAACGTGCAGCACTTCTAGCCGACATCGACAAAAGTCACTCTCTAGCCCCGCGGCGAGCAGCCCCGCCGGAGGCGAAGAAAATTTTGCCATCTAGCGCTCTCTAACACACATTTTTGCACAAATCGACGCCTCCAAACAGGCTCAATAAGACTGGTCTTCACTGCAGCACGCCTCGAGCGAGTAATGCGTCTATAGGCCAATATAAAAGAGCTTCTCGCGCGCGCTCCTCAGCTGGCGGTCCGCAGGGCCGCCCGGGCCGGGCGAGAAGCGCAAGCCCGCCAGCCGCACCATGTGATTCACGATGATGAGCGTCTCGGCCTCGAGCAGCGTGTAGGAGCGAAGCTTGCCCTCGCACTCGCGTTGCTCGAGCCTGAGCCAATGCGCCTTGACCACGAGATAGCCCGCGGGGATGGTGTCAGTGTTGACGACCGTGTCCTCGGCCAGCGTGTACGCCTTCCCCTTGAGCACCGCCAGCCAGTAGAGCCCCTCGAGCGACTGCTCGCGCCGATCTGCGCGGCGACAGCGGCCTGGACACGTCCGGCCAAGTCGGTTACGGGGAGGGCTACTACGAGGTCTTTGCGCGGGGGTGGTCGGGCGCCAGGCGCCCAGTCGATTGCCGCATAGTTCGTCGTAGTAGCCCTATCATAAACCTCGTATTCACACCTTGCACTTTGAAAAAAGAAATATCCGACCTTTGTCGAAGATCCAGAGGGTTTATCAGAGCATCACCCTTTTTCGAATTTTGTTTATCTCCGCGGGCGCCGGCACACACGCCACAACATCACACGCACACTCAGCGGAAGGAGGCCACCCTCAGCGTCCCCTCGGTGGCGTACATAACAAGCTCCCACGGCCCCACGTACGGGTCAAACGTCGAGAGCAGCACCGCATACATGCCCGCCGGGAGTGGCGTGCGCGGCAAGCACGCGCCCCCCGCTGGGTAGGCGTACAGCCCCCCCTCGGACACGGCGCGCGCGCGGGAGAGGCCGCGGCCCGTGGCCTCTGTCCGCTGCTCGCCGCCGTCAAAGAGAGCGACGCACAGGGAGGGCGGCGCCGCCGAGCGGCCCTCTCTCGTGCCGGGCGCGCGCAGGCGCAGCAGCAGCTCGGCGGGGCGCGAGAGGACGAGCTGCAGCTGCGGGTTCTTCCAAAAGGCGCCGTGGTTCGGAGAGCCGGCGGCGCTCTGCCGGTCCCACGCCCCCTGGACCGCCTGCCGCTGCAGCCCGTGCGCCTCGTGGGGCAGCGCCGCCAGCCGGCCCGCCGAGGCGCGCAGCTCGAAGCCGCACTCGGTGCCCGGCGTGAAGGTGGACGGCACGACGAGCCAGCGGCCCGCAGGGAGGGAGGCCGCCGCCAGCCGACAGCCGCCAGGTCGGTAGTCGCCCGAGCGGAGCGGCCACTTGCGCGCGTCGCCTGCAGGAAGGCTCCGAGAGAAGGTTTCGAGGAGGGTCCCGGTGCGGTGTGCCTCGCGCGCGCGGCGCCGGCGCCGGCCGGCTGCTCCGTCGGCGCCTCGGGGCTGAGAGCGAGCCCGAGCTGCACGTCCTCCGGCTTCGAGCCTGCGGGACGAGGCGTGGGGCTTCCGTCACGGTCGCGTCACGGACGCGTCCGAGCTGCGGCCGGGTCAGCCAAGTCTGCGCCTCCGCCGCGCAGCCCGACGGCGGCGAGCTCGAGGACCGGGCTGGCGGCGAAGGGGAGCTCGAGCAGGAAGCGGGGGTTGTCGACGTACGAGTCGTGGTTCGAGGAGCCGCCGGCGGTGCGGCCGCTCCACGCGCCGGTGAGGCGCGACGCGGTCGGCTCGGGCGGTGCGATCGGGCGGAGGGTGAAGGGCGCCTGCGCGTAGACGTCGAGCGAGAAGTCGACCTGCGGGGCATTCCTCTCGAGTCGAGGGTTCGATTCACTAGTCACTCGCGGCGAGCGGCCGGCCTGCGAGTCGGTCGGCTTGTACTGGGCGAGGGCGAGGGTGAGCTGCTGCGGCGCGGACGCGGCGGGCAAGTCGAACTTGACGAGCGTGTGCGGCCTGTGGGGCATGTCCGGGACACGTCGCGGACGTGTCCGTCGGCAAGTCGAGCCGGACAGGGCGCGTGCGGCCGGTTGGAGTACACTCCCTGCATCCAGCAGCGCTCGAGGTAGTGGGCGCGTGCGCCGCCGCGGAAGACGTGCACGGTCAGAAAGGCGTCGCGAGAGGCGTCCCGCCCCTCCGCCATGGCGAGGTTGTACGGCCGCGAGGAGTGGCGGGTGAGGAGGACCCAGACCGCCGTCGCCGCGCCGGCGGGCGGCACGTTGACTGTGAGCTGGTACTGCGGGTTGGTGCCGAGGTCGACGGCGTCGTCGCGGAAGGCGGCGCGGGGCGGCCACTGCCCGTGCGTCACGGTGTGGTGCTTGAAGAGCTGCGGGTTCCAGTTGAGGAAGACGCCCTCGAAGTGGCGGAGCAGCGAGTCGTAGTCGATCCAAAAGATGCCGTTGTCCTGCTGCAGCGACGCCTGCTGGTCGAAGCCGAACGCCTTGCGCAGCTCCGGCGTCCACCGCTGTCGGTCGAAGACTGAGAAGGCGCCGCGCCACCGCTTGCGCGCCCACGGGTTCTTGAGCTGCAGCAGCTGCACGCCGCACGCGGCGCGCACCTGCAGCACCGCGTACGCGTGCGTCGGCACGAGGCCGAGCGCCTATCGGCAAAGGCTCCAGGCTCACGCAAGGCCCTCTGCGTGCGCCGCGTCGGCACGAGGCCGTTTGCGTCGGCGGCCGACTCCTCCATCGGCCTGTACATGAGGAGTGAATAGTTGACAACTCATACCGGTATCACGAACAGGCCGACTCCCCCCTCGACCCGGTCGCGACGGTGATGAGGCAGTCGCCGAACTTCGACGCCGACGTCATGCGCTGCCACAGCCGGTCGCGCTTGAAGTCGCCGCTGTCCGTCCGCAGCTGCTCGGGCACCCAGCCGGTGAGGGCGTGCATGTCGATGCCCGAGTTCGAGCCGGGGAAGTCGTACCCTCCGTTGACCTTCATGTACGCCTTCTCGAGGATTGACACCCAGAGCTCCTCGGCGTGGGACGAGTGCGAGCACCTGCTCACATCTCCCCCCATCTCCCCATATCTCCCCCAATCTCCCCCTATCTCGGTGGGACGAGTGCGAGCACCTGCTCACATCTCCCCCTATCTCCCCATATCTCCCCCAATCTCCCCCTATCTCGGTGGGACGAGTGCGAGCACCTGCTCACATCTCCCCCTATCTCCCCATATCTCCCCCAATCTCCCCCTATCTCGGTGGGACGAGTGCGAGCACCTGCTCACATCTCCCCCCATCTCCCCATATCTCCCCCAATCTCCCCCTATCTCGGTGGGACGAGTGCGACCACCTGCTCACATCTCCCCCTATCTCCCCCTATCTCCCCCTATCTCCCCCTATCTCCCCATATCTCGGTGGGACGAGTGCGAGCACCTGCTCACGGCCCGACGAGTGACGAGCCGCCCCTCACGGACCCCGCGGCAGGCGACCGGGGTCACATCGGCCGCCCGTGCCGGTCGAGCGGCAGCCTGTCGTCGACGAGGAGGTGTGAAGAGGAGGTGTGAAGAGGGGGTGTGAAGAGGAGGTGTGAAGCGGCAGCCTGTCGTCGACGAGGATGCGGCGGCTCACTCCGTTGAACTTGAGGCGGACCATGTACTTGCCCGCCGGGTTGTAGATGGGCACGCCTGCGCGGTCCTGCGGGTAGAGGATCGCCGTGACGAGCTGCGTGCGGAAGCGGCGCTCGAAGGACGCGGCGATCACGAGGGACGAGACGAAGGAGCAGTCGGTGATGATGGTCTGCGTGATGGTGAGCGGCGACACGAGGTAGATCATCCTTGGCTCGCCGCGCATGAACTCGGACGGGCGCGCCCACCGCCCAAAGTGCGCCCGCTGCTCGCCGTTGAGCAGCAGCAGGCCGTCCGGGTCGCACCACGGCGCGCCGAAGGCGAAGCGCTCTCTGGCCTGGTCGCCGAGCCACGGGTAGTGGACGAGCTTGCCTAAGGACATGTCCCGGACATGTCATGGACGTGTCCTGGACATGCCACGGGTAGTGGACGAGCTTGCCTAAGGACATGTCCCGGACATGTCATGGACGTGTCCTGGACATGCCACGGGTAGTGGACGAGCTTGCCTAAGGACATGTCCCGGACATGTCATGGACGTGTCCTGGACATGCCACGGGTAGTGGACGAGCTTGCCTAAGGACATGTCCCGGACATGTCATGGACGTGTCCTGGACATGCCACGGGTAGTGGACGAGCTTGCCGATCCGAGACGAGCGGGCGAGCACCTTCTTCTCCTCGTCGGAGAGGCCGCCTGGGGTCAGAGGGCGGAAGGCGGGTGAGGGTCGGGGCTGGCGACCTCCTCCGCGGCACAAGAGAGAGAGGTGGCCCTTGGCGGCGGGCTTTGCGGCAGGCTTGGCGGCGGGCTTGGCGGCGGCCGGCGCTGACGCCGGCGCCGGGCCGGCGGGGGCTGGCCCGCGTCCTCCGCCCTTGAGCTGCTCGGCGCGGTCCATCACTGCGCCGAGCCGGAGCCGGATCGATGCCGCCGCGTGCCCTCCCTCCTCGAGCCTCAGGGCAGAGAGGAGGTGCTCCGCCGCAGACGTGTACAGCTCGAGCGCCTCGTCCGCCTCGTCCGCCTCGTCCGCCTGCACGGCGAGCTCGGTGTGCAGCTTGGCCGACGCCAGTGGCGCCGCCGACGGCTTCGCCGCAGCTGACTCGATGCGGAGAGCAGCGCTCGCCTGTAAATCAGATGAAAGTGAGACACAACGGATGAGGTGCAGCTGACTCGATGCGCTCGCCTCGGCCCAAGTCTGCGCCGCCGGGTTGGAGGCGTTCGTGTGCCCCGCCGCCGGCTGTGCCGCCGAGCTGGGGACGGAGCGCGAGCTGGAGGCGTGCGGTGCGGCTGGGGACGGAGCGCGAGCTGGCGGTGGCGAGGCCGTCGCCGGTGCTGAAGCAGGAGGCGGTGGCGAGGTGGCTGCCTGCCGCAGCGCGAGTCGCTGCAGCTCGGCCAGGCGCTGGCTGTACTCGGCGTGGCGTGCGGAGAGCAGCTCGAGGCGCGTTGGAGACGTCTCGAGCTCGAGGAGGGCCTCGAGCCCGCCGACGGCCTCGGAGTAGAGCAGCGTCGCTGCCGAGACCGCTCCTGCGTCGTCCTCCGCCTTGCCGCGCTCGAGGAGGCCGAGCGTGGACTCCCAGAGCGTGGCTAGCCGGTTGGCGGCGAACGCTGCAAGAGCGTCCTCCATACAAACATGCGACGGCGGCGAAGCGCGCCACTCCGCTCGGGGAAAGGGGCCGGCTGCGAAAGAATTTTACCCGCGGTCCCTGTCTCCCTCGCACAACACTGAGAAGCGGCGTCAGATGCAGATGTCACGATGCATCCGAAGGGGACCCCAGCGCCGGCATCATCCGTAGAGGCACGAGTGTTCGAAGAGAGAGTGGACCTGAGCAACAACATGACCTGCAGGCAAATGATCGGAGTGGGAGTCAGAAATGTGGTCCTTCCTTGCGCGAGGGGAGCTCGATAGACTCGAGGGGCCAGGATACGCCGCGAGGAGGACGGAGTTGCGCCGAAAGGCGAAAGAAGCCGCGAGAACAAGGGACCGGCAGGCGGCGGCGTCGCAGGACGAGGCAGAAGAGAACGACGCGACAGAGGAGGAAATGACAAGGGAGAGAACGACGAGAGTGGGACGACCGCGAGGTGGCATGAAGGTTGCAGCGAGTCCTCCCATCCCTCCCTTGGGTTGTCTGTTTTCTTTCTTTCTTTTACTGAGAAGCGGCGAGAGACTGCGAAGAGAGATAGGAAGAGGCAGACTCCCTAGGGTGGGCGACGGCTAGCGCACCACACACCTCTCCTTAAAATCCCTGTGTGGTGGCGGCGTGCCGTCCTCCCATCCCTCCCTTGGGTTGTCTGTTTTCCTTCTTTCTTTCTTTACTGGGCACGGGACTGGCTCGCACTTCTCCGACGCAGCGCGACCACGGACGAAGCGTGGCGGCGGGGGTGGGCCCGAGCGCTAGCTACGGCCTTCTCTGACGGCGAGAGCGGCGCGCGGTGGCGACTGCGCCCCAGACCTTCACAGCAGCCAAGGCTGCTGGCGCCGCGAAAGAAAGAAATCCCGAAAGCCACAGCGTCTTGAAAGTGCTGCTCGACCTTCATAAAATTTATATGGCTGAGGCAGCGTCTGCCGCCACGCCCCCGTGGCGCCTGCACCGGCTGCAGGACTCGCTCAAGCTCGACGTCGACGCCGGCGGCTGCACGATCGGGCGTGCGCACGTCGTCGGGGAGCCAAAGCAAATCTCGAGAAGCCACGCGACGTTCCGGCCAGCCGCCGAGGGAGTCCTCGACGTCACGTTTGCCGGACAGCTCTCCTTTGTCTGGAGTGCTCAGAGGCCACGCGAGTGGCAGCGCTTGGGCAAGGGTGCGCGCGCGGTCCTACAGAACGGTGACTGCGTTGCGCTGGAGCCGCCTCGTCTCCGGCGCGGGATTTTCCGCACGCAGCTTGCGGGAGCGCCTCTGCCAGCCTGCCACATGCCTCGCTTCGAGGACCAGAATGACGCGAGGCGCAGTGACGAAGAGCAGGGCGCGCCGTCCAAGCGTGCGCGCTCGAGTGCCCTTTCTGACACCGCACCTCTTGCCGCACCTCTTGCCGCACCTCCTGCCGCACCTCCTGCCGCTGCCACCGCACCTCTTGCCGCACCTCTTGCCGCACCTCCTGCCGCTGCCGCGCCTGTCGCCGACGCGGCGGCCGCGCCGGCCGCCGCTCCTGCCGCCTCGCAACGCGGCCCGAGCCTCGAGGAGCAGCTGGACAGCATTCTGGACGAGCCGCTCGAGGCATCGCTGCGAGCCTTCCGAGAGGGCGAGGAGGTGATCGACCTGTCGCTGTCGGACGACGACGAGGAGAAGCAGGGCGAGGGCCGCGAGCCGGAGAAGGAGAAGGCGCACGCCATCGCTCCCTCTCCCGCCTCTCGACCCGCCGCTCCCGCCGCCCCGTCCTCCTCGGCGGCGGGTCCCAAGGCGGCGGGCCCCAAGGCGACGGGCAAGGCACCTGGCAAGGCGGCGGGCGGGGCTGAATCGCTTGCCTCCCCGTGGAGCAGCAAGCAGCTTGCCTCCCCGTGGACGATCGCGAGCGGCGCCTGCAAGGCAGCCCCCGTACGCCCTCCCCCGCCGAGACAGTGCCGAGGGCACTCGTCCACAACATGTCCTTCACACGTCCTGGACACGTCCCGTATAGGCCGCCTCCCCCTACCCCGCCGGCGTGCCGAGCGTGCCGGATGGCTCGGCCGCGCAGGGCGGCGTGCTGCGCGCCAGATTCGTCGCGCCACCCTTCTCGTCGCTCGACGCGAGGCAGCCGGTGTGGCAGGAGCGCAAGAAGCACTGGAACGCGCTCTTCGACAGCGGCGCCGGCCGCTCGAACACGCTCCTCTCCGCCGGCCGCACCTCTGGCCTCGGCGTGCTCGAGAAGGCGGACGGCTCGGTGGTGGGCACCTCGCTCTTCGACCCCGTGCTCGCCGAGGTCATGGTCCGCTGGTTCGCGCCGCGGCCGCGCCTCGTCGCCGCCGGGTCGCGCCTCGCCCCCGCCGGCAGGCCGGTCATCGTCCTCGACCCGTTCGCGGGGGGGTGCGTGCGAGGGATCGTGTGCGCGGGCCTCGGCTGCCTGTACGTCGGCGTCGACATCTCCGCGAAGCAGGTGCGCGCCAACCAGGAGCAGTGGCAGCAGCTCGAGCGGAGCGGCCGCCTCGGCGAGGTCAAGCACGCGCCCGCCTGGCTCCACGGAGACGGAGAGCACAGAGCCGCCCCCGCTCACCGGCGGCGTGCTCGCGAACCGTCTCGGAACCTTCTCCGACCCTTCCCTTTAGGCGAGCAGATCGCGAGCCACTACCAGGGCGTGCTCGCCAGCCGCGGGCTGCCGCCGGAGACGCTCGCGGACCTCATCCTCGCGTGCCCGCCCTACTATGACCGCGAGCAGTACAACGGCGGCCCCCTCGACCTGTCGATGCTCCCCACGTACAAGGCCTTCCTCGCAAAGTACCAGCGCATCATCGCCGCGGCCGTCTCGCTGCTAAAGCCGCAGCATTTCGCCTGCTTCGTCGTGGGCAACGCGCGCGCCAAGGGCGGCGGGCTGCACGTCCTGCTGTCCGACACGCTGCAGGCCTTCGCAAAGGTGGACTGCACTCCGTACAACGTGGCCGTCCTCCTCACCGCGCTCGGCACGGCGCCGCAGCGCGCGGAGCAAACCATGGCCGCGGCCTCGAAGCTGGTGCCGGCGCACCAGGACGTTCTGGTGGTTGTCAAGGGGAGGGGCTTCGACAAGAGCGATGCTCGCGCGTGCGGCATCCGCGCCAAGGAGGGCGCCTCCTCGCAGTCGTCCGCCGATTCCCAGGGCTAGGTCCTTGTGGGTCTGGGAGCGTGTGGCTCTCTGAGGATCGGGCGGTGCCGTCGCATGGGAGAGTCTGCGCTGGTGCGCGTCTGACGCGCGTGTGTCTACCGCGTCTTATGGTCTTGTTGGCCGGCTAAGAGCCGGAGAGCCAGAGAACGTCATTGGACATTGCTGTCTTCGCACTTCTAAGGATGGAGCTCTGAGTCCGATGCGTCCGAGACGTCGACACACGACAGCAGCTGTGATCTTGCTACACGCTAGCAGATTTCTCGAGAGGCCTGCACACAGATGGCTCACATCACACACACATGGGGCGTATATTTGTGCACCGACATAGACCACACTCCATAGTGCACTTTTGGTATTTGGGGGTCTCTCTCTCCTCTCTGACTCGCTGTCACTTCGAGTGGCCGTGTCGCTCTCTCTCAAAACTCTGGCGTCTTGGAGCGCATTTGCCACACAAGGTGCGACAGCGAGGCGTCTCTACCGCAGCAGCAATTATGACAGGACACAATGTCGACGGGCTCACGGTTATCCTTCCTCCTTTCGTCAGCATGCGACAGTAGACCCACACAACGAGAGACGCCGCGGGGGCCGGCGGGGGGCCGCGCACGCGCAAGCATGAAGCAACTAGCAAGGCGCGGCCACGCCCCCCCCCCCACCCCCGAGCCCGCGCCCGTCTCCCCCGTCTGGCGTTGCGCTACCTCGCAAGGCGCCTTCGTCGGGGAGCGGAGAGGTCGACGCATGCTGGCGGCCGGCGGCACCGTCTAATGGCACCGTGACCGCGCTACTACTGGTCGCTCTCATACACACGGAGGCCCCGGCTAGAGGCACTTCCGCGCTGCTCGGCTGCTTCTCTCGGCAGCAGGGGCGCCCACGGCGGCCTCACGCATCGAACTTAGGCCCGCGGGTCAGGATGATGGCGCCGTAGGCATCCGCCTGCTCGAGGTCGACGCGGGACGCCGATGCGAGCGACAGCGCGTTAAAGAGCAGAAGCGCCGCATCGCGCCGCTTCTTGACGTTTGTCAGCTGGAGCAGCAGGGATGCGTTGAGGATGACGCGCCCTCCCGCAGCCGCGCGCAGCTCATTCTCGATCTCGGCGCGCAGCTCCGCGGACCTGCTAGCGCTCTCCGGCTGGTCCTCCCCCTCGTCGAGTTGCAGCCGGTCGAAGCCCTGCCCGTACGGAAACTCGTCATCTCCAAAGGGCTCCGGCGCGCCCTCTGCAGCGTCCTGCATGCCCGCGTCGCCGAGCGCGTCGACGGCGAAGGTTGGAGGCGGCGACCCTCCGACAGACATGGAGGGGAGCCGTGCCGCAGGGCCCTCCTCCCCGCCGGCGCCGCTCTCGCCGGCGAGCGGCGCGAGCCCGCCCACGAGGCTCGACACGCGGCGCGGGTCGAAGGCTGCGCCCTGCTCGGCCGCACCGCCCTGGCTGGCGCGCGGATCCTCCGGGGAGGGCAGCATCGGGACGTCGCCGGCGGCCTCCGCCCCCTCCTCCCCGTAGCCCTCGCCTCCGGGCAGCGGTGGCGTGCCCGGGCCGGTCGGCGTGACGTCCATCGGAGTCACGCCCTCAGCCGCGTCCTGCCGCGCGCCGCCCTCGCCCTGCGCGGCGTTCTGCTCGGAGAGGGAGAGGAGGGAGAGGGCCTCCTGGACACGGCGGTTGCGGAGCTCCCTCACCGCCGGGCAGGCGCGCAGAATCGGAAGGTGGCGCAGGTCGGGGCGCAGCCACTCGGCGGCCAGGCCCTGCTTTGCAGCCGGTCCCCGCGGCGGTCGTGGCGCACGCCGGCGGGCGGACCGCGTCGAGCCGCGTCGGGAGCCCCGGAGCCGCTCCTCGACGGGCGCGTCGAGGTCGCACAGAAGCGCTGCAGGCGTCGCTCCCGACGACTTGTTCTCGAGGCTAATCTGAAGGTCGATGAGCATCGGCCGGCGGGGCTTGGCCTTCGAGGTCCCCTCGCCTCCGCCCTCGCCCTCCGCAACGTCGCCCGGCGGTGCTCCCGCCGCTTCGGGGAGCTGAGCAATGTCGACCTCCCCTTGGTCCGCCAGCCCGATCAGCGGCGGTGCGCCCGTGAAAAACTCCGCCGCCTGTTGAGCGCTAAGGCCGCCGTCGGAGGGGTCGCCCGCCACCGCCTCCTCTTCCGCCCCGCCGAGTGCTCCGCCCCCCGTCGCGGCGGCCGATCCGCCCGGCTGGAGAGTCGGGTCCGCCTCGTCGTACTCCTCAAACTCGAACCCGAGTGCTGCGCCGTCGTGCCCCTCCGCGGGCTCGGCGGGGGGTTCGTCGCCGAAAATAGGCGATGGCGGCTGCCCCGCTGCACTGCCGGCGCGGCTGCGGCTGCCGGGGAGGGCCAGCGTGCCGGCGGGGAAGGCGGGATCGGCGGCGGGGTCTGCGAGGTCCGTGAAGTGGCCCCCTTCGTTGAGCAGCCAGTCCGCCTGGTCCGCCGCGGACACGTCGTCACCGAGCGGGCGCCCATTGAGGTGCTCGGGCAGGTCGAAGTCGAGGTCGCACGCGTCGTCCGGCCGTGTGATGTTCGCGAGGCGGGTCGGGTTGACGTAGCGGCTCGTGGACGAGGCGGAGTCGGCGAGCAGCTGGTGCCAGAGCTTTGCCACTTTGTCGAGGAGCCTCTTGGTGTCCATCTTGTGCTGCTCAACGACCCCACGGAGCAGCATGGCGGAGGGGCGGAGCGCGAGCGGCACCCTCGGTGCCTTGATGTAATCGATGGTGAAAATCAGGTTGATGTGCTCCCTCGCCCACGCCTTCTCCTTCTTGGAGAGCCTGTGGGCACGGCAGGACAGGCGTGCAGCGGCAGGTGTGGGGTCGGCGGGCCGGTCGGGACATGACTTTTTGCGATCGGCGCGGGGGGCGTCCATGCTGCTGACCCACGCGGCGGCCCTCGCCTCCCGGCCCCTCGCTCCCCGCTCACTCGCTCGACGTTACAGGTGGTCGGTGCGGTTGCGGGTGCTGCACAACAGGAAGGCACCGGCGCAGGCGGCCGCGAGCGCGCTGTGCGGGGGGGCGGACTCACTTTTCGTAGACCTTGGTACCGATGCGGTAGAAGGTGCCCACCGAGCACTTCTTGATGAGCACGTGAGGGTCGTAAAACATCGCGCTCCGAGCTGGAGACGGCGGCGGCGGGACTCTCCGCGTTCCACCGACTTTTGTAGCCTCTTGCCTTCTCAGCAGAATAAAAGTCGGAGGCGACCTGGCGGCAAACAACATAGACATCTCCTGTCTTGCGTCCACCCATACCGCGCTGGTGTCCAGCCCGAGCCTGACTATCTATCCAAGTGCTCCAAGCAAAAGAGGCTGTGTTGGCGCGCACTCGGTCGGTCGGTCGGCCGGCGGCAGCAACGTGCTCAAGCGCGCCGCCGAGCGAGAGACGGTCTGCGCTAGGGAGCTAGCAACAACACACAAATCTATCACTTATGTTGGTTGGGATGCACGCACGCACTCACTACTCACGCGCGCGGGAGCCCCAATAACAGACGAAATTAAGAAACGCGGCGGGCGTAACGACAGCTGAAGTCCTTAGCGGAGGAGGAACGCGGCATGAGCGGCGAGGGAGAGCCGTCGTGGGCGCAGCCGAACCAACGCCAGCCACCATCGCCCGCCGCGACGCCCGCCGCGGCGCCCGCCGCCGCCTCGAGCCGCCGACGACGCGTCCTCTTCATGAGGGGGCTCCGGCTCTGGACGGCTGGAGTTGCGATTGCGCTGATGGTGGATGCAGTGATCCGTGTCGCCTTGAGACCCTACTTCTTAGACGGTGCGGTGCTGGAGCACGGATCCGGCTACGAGGGCGAGCTGGAGCCGTGGAGCGGCACTGACCTCCCTGCCGCTGGCGCGACGCGCGTCACCATCGCGACGGCGGAGATGCTGAGCGCACTGCTGCTCCTGGCCGCGGAGCTGCCATCGCCGCTCTGCGCCCGCTTCGTCATCAGATACGTGGGGGCGCTGGCCACATACGGCGGGAAGGGGTGCTTCATGGTTGTGTCCGGTTCCACCTTCGCACTCGGCGGTCAGACCGAGTACTTTGCAACCGGGGTCCTGCTCGAGCACTTCATCACCGGCTGCATCTGCGCGGCGACGGGGGTCGTCTGGCTGGGCCTCACCGCGCTTCCGTGTCTCCGCTTGCCACCCCACCCCACGCGTGAAGCCTGGCTCGAGTGGAATCGCCGCGAGGTTGCGCCAGCGCCGGCTGCGAGCCTCGAACTCGGGGCTGCGAAGTACGGCTCTGGCGGCGGCCGGGCCCCGCCTGCAGCAGCGATACGCATCGACACCGGCGCGGCGGTCCCGGATCAGAGCCAGCCGCCTTCACCAGGCTCCACAAACCCCTTTTTTGGCAATCGCCATCTGCAGGCGGATTCGCCAACCGCCATGCGAGTGTGAGAACTCGGAATGGAATCGAATAGTCCGGCTCTTGTAGCTAGGTAAGGTAAGGTAAGGTAAACTTCTCCACATAGCACACAAGAGGTGGTGGGGCAAAAGGGGGGGCGACCCTCGCTTTGGGTCTACGTCTAGACACACTAGACTCTAGCGAGGCCGAGCCGTAGTGCAGAGGGAAGAGAGGCGAGACCGAGAGGAGCTAGAGAGCGGGCGCTGAGCAGCACTGACAGCACCTGACAGCTGGTCTGACAGAGGCACCTGACAGGTGCACCTGACAGTGCCTGACAGCCTGACAGATCACCTGACGACAGCACCTGACAGCACCTGACAGCCAGGGCTCAGAGCGGGCGCCGCCCGCCGGACCTCGGGAGTCGGGTGTGTCAGTGTCTGCACTGTCTCAGCAGATAGTCTCGTCACGCTCTTTTAGAGAGCCGTACACACACTTACACACACTAGTGCTTTTTCACAACGAATACCGCAAAAACGAGAGCTATAGCTGCATGTGAGCCGTGAGCCCGCTCCCCTCGTCCGAGGTGTCGGATCGGGTCTCCGCCGCCGGGTCGTCCGGCTTCGCTCGCTTGCAATGCCTCACCAGCGACCATGTAGGCGCGCCGTAGGCCAGGGCCACCACGACAGTGCCCGCATTGGTGAGCGCCGCGGCGAAGAGGGCGGCGCACAGGACCTGCAGCTGCTCGGCGAGGGGGAGGGAGGGCAGCCCGAAGGTGAGGAGCGGCAGCGCGAGGGCGATATCGCGGATGCCAACCTGCGCACGGAGCGGGGGAGGGCTAGGAGGAGACGCCCGCACGGCTTCCCTCCCTCCGAGACGGGGCACCTCGAGGATCATCGAGGTGCGGTTCTTTGCCGGCTGGCCGGGCAGCAGGCAGGCGAGCCCCGCGCCGGTCGCGAGGACGAGGAGGGCGAAGCAGGCGGAGGCGACCAGGGTGACGCGGGGGAGGAGGACGGACCGCGCGCCCTGCAGGCTCGCACTCGACGGGTCTGGCCGTGCGAAGAGGTTCGACAAGACGGTGACGGCGAAGACGGAGAGCACGGCCACGTGCAGCCGCCCCCTCCACCGCCGCTTCTGCTCGTCGGACGCGGCGCGGACGGCGGGGAGCAGGCTGATGCGCCACGAGGCGAGCATGCCTACAGCCGCGCCCGTGCGGGTGGGGAAGGGCGGCGGGCGCGCGGCGGCCGCGGCGCAGGCGGTGGGTCGCGCCGAGGCCGAGCGGATAGACTGTGGAGGCGAGCGAGGAGGCGAGCTGCCTGTACGGGATGTGCACGACCTGGCTGGCGTCGAAGGCCAGCGGATAGACCACGAGGAGGCCGAGCGAGACGAGCACCACGGACACGCACTGCTCAGTGGCGGTCAGGCACGCATTCAGGTCTGTATTAGCCCCGGCGAGGACGGCGATCACGTTGGCCATCGGGCCGCCCGGCAGCAGCGCGATCGTGAGCATGCCTAGCGTGTCGTGCGCCGGCGGAGCCAGCACGCGCAGCAGCAGGATGGAGACCGCCGGGATGGCGACGATCGTTGCAGCCAGAGTGCAGGCGAAGGCCTCGCGATTCGGAGACGCGAGCGTGATCTGCCTCGCGACGGTGGTGTCGGTGTTAAGCCCGATGAGGAACATGAGCGGCGCCGCGTGGAGGGCGGCGGGCAGCATATGGCACGAGTCGCGCCTGGGCAGTGCTCGCCTTGGTTGCCTCAAAAAAAGAATTTGCGGTTGTATTCGATAAAGTGACTAAGTCTCCGGTTGCCTTGTGCGATCCTGCGAAATCGAAAGGAGCCTCCCCTTTTGTTGTCGCAGCTTTGTGCAGTGCAGCGTGCGAGCAGCGCAGCGCCAGGCTGCCGACCACTGGCACGCCCGAGCGGCTGTGGGACGGAGGCCCGCCGAGCGAGTGCGAGCCGCATCGGCGGCCATGTCTCCCGCCGCCGCGAGCGAGTGGCGCAAAGAGGCGGCGTCGCGTAGCGGCTTTTTCTTTTGCGTGCGTGTCAGCTGTGGGAAATCACGAAGAAAGGTCTCAACCAACGCCCCACCACTTGCTTCCCCTGGCCTCCATGGCCGCCTCCGTGGCCGCCCAGGCCTCCTCCTCGGAGGCACGCGGCCAGCCGCTGTTCGACACCATCGCCGAAGACGGACCGCTTACCGACGCAGCTGCGGCGTCTGTGCTCCAGTCGCTCCTCGACTACGTCGAGCGACAGGAGGCTTATGTCCCGCTCCTTCCTTCGCATGTCTACGTAAGTGAGCGAGGCGCAATCAGCGTGAGCGAGACCGCATCGCCTCCCTGCGTCCCTCCCGCGTGCGAGCTGAGCGGTGACGTCATATTCGTGCCGCCCGAGGCGCCTCTGCGGGAGGTGCAGTCGGCATACACCTGGAACCTCGGCGTCTTCCTCTACGTGCTGCTGACGGGCTACCCGCCGTTCGCTTCGAAATCGGTCGCCTGTCCCTTCTGGGAGAGCTTCGTCGCCTCCTCCCGCCTCAGCTGCCCGGCGCACTTCACCTCCCCCGTCATCTCGCTGCTGTGCGGCATGATAGCGCTGCCTCCCGAGGCTCGAATGACGGTGCACGAGGCCCGCGCCGAGGTGATGACGTGGCAGCTGCAGCTGCTTCGGCCCGTCAACCTGTCCGGCAACGGCAACGGCAACGGCAACGGCAAGCACAGGAAGACCCTCAAGCGCGCCAAAGACGCGGGCGCCGCGGCGCTGACCCTCTGCTCGGGCCTCGGCGTGGCGGCGGGCCGTGAAGGCCCTCGCTGCGGAGGAGCGTCGAGCGGCGGGGTGGGCGCGGGGCCGGCGGCGAGCACGGAACAGGCAGCAGGGGTGGCGGGGGCGGCAGGCGCAGCAGGCGCAGCAGGGGAAGCAGGAGGAGCGGTAGAGAGGGCGGAGGCGGAGCCGGCGACGGCGACGGCGGCGCGGAGGGAGGGAGGGCACGCGGCGGCGGCGCAGAACGGCTTCATCGCCCCGGGGCCGCAGCGCCTCCGCACGGGCGACGCGCCCCCCCCTCCCTCTCCCGTCGTCGGCCCGCACGGCGTGGCGCGCACCTCGCTCCAGTCGCTGGCGCTGCACCCGAACTCGCCTCCCTTCCGGGCGCGCTCCCAAAAAGGGCAGTGCGGCTCGCAGCGGCCGCTGGCGGTGCTCTACTCGCCCGATTCGGAGCTGCCGCGCAAGGTGTCTCCCGACGTCGCCTCGCTATGGGCGAGGGCGGACACGCGCGCCCCCGCGGCGGCCCGCAGCTGCGTGCCCGTCCGCCGACTCGGCTGGGAGATGCCGGCGGAGGGGGGGCTCGAGGGGTCCGTGGAGCGGGTGGGCAAGGTGCTCTCCGAGCTCGGCGTCCCCTTCGAGGTCCCGGGCGTCGCCACCAACCCGCTCTCCATCAAGACACTCCCCTGCAACTTCGCCGCGATGGGCAGTGCTCAGATGCAGGCCGTCATCTTCATCTCGGAGGCGGACGCGGCGGAGCAGGCGGAGGGGCGCTGCGGCCACCGCATCGACGTCTCGCGCCACTCGGGCGACACGTTCCAGTTCCACGCCTTTTACCGCAAGCTCCGAGCCGGCCTCGGAGCCGACATCGGCTGGAACGGCGTGGACTACGTCCGGAGGTCGGGGCTGTCGGGCCGCGGCGGCGCGAGCGGCGGCGCAGGCGGAGCAGGCGGCGAGGTGGCGGCAGGGCAGAGGTGATGGCCGTCGGGGTAGCGAGGGAGGCATCGGGTGAGCTGTGAGCTCACCGGGGTATTCAGCCGTGTTCATGCACGATCATGGCAGAGGGGCATGTGGGTGGCACACACTTGTGGAGTGCGGTCGGTAACTCAACCACAAGCACAACCTGCACGCTGCACGCTGCACGCCCACCCTGACAAACAAGCAAGGACAGAACGCAAGCAAGAAATAAATAAATAAATAAATAAAAACGGACACCTCTCTACTGTGAGGTGGGTAAAAAGGAACAGGTCCCCGCCCTTGAAGGGCCTTCCCCTTGCGATCTTTGTGCAGGGTTCTTTGTGGGTGTGGTCGGCGGCTAGCCGGGGTCGTCCTCCCTCATCCCTCGATGGGGGACTACACGACTAGCACTAGCCGTCTTCCACATGGTCCCTCGGGTCCCTGCCGCTCCTAACCTCTTCGTACATCCTCCTGCTGATCTCCGCAAAGTCCGCAAGCAAGTAAAGAAAGCACCGCCAATTATTAATAATCGCTCGCGGCGAGAGAGGTGGAGCCCGGGCGCGCTCGGGTCTTGCTGCACCCTAAGGCTGCTCTCTGACTCTGAACCAACTCTGGTGACTGATCTCTCTGTACTCTGACTCAGAGAGAGATTATCTCAGAGAGAGATGATCTCAGTGCCTCTCGCTGCGGCTGTGTGCGCAATCTCCTCTCTCGTGGCAGGAAGGCAGCGCCGCTGCGGAGGGCGCCCTGAGGGGGAGTAAATCAGGAGTAAAGAAAGAAAGAAAGAAAGAAAACGTGCAACCCAAGCGCCAAGGCGCAAGGGAGGGATGGGAGTGCCACCCGCATATTCGCCCCGTTTTTTTTCGTTTGAGCTGCACAGCTGCTGGGTTCCGGCTCCTAGCCGGATAGGGGGTCTGTAGCCACTGGCTGGCTGGCCCCTCCCAGATAGGTAGGTAGGTTGGTCTTGTTTCGCCCAAAAGGGCCCTGCAATAGGTAGGTACCCCCTATTTTCATCTTTTTCCGCTTCGCTGCGCGGCCTGGGGATAGGTAGGTAGGTAGGGCGTTTTGGCGCGAGTCAGTGGGGCAGACCCCCTTTCCGGCTAGGAGCCGGAACCCTGCCTTCGATTGCGTTCTGTGTGTAGCCATGATCCTCACGTTGACGCTAGCCACCGGCTTCGCTGCACCTCGCCGCGCCACCTCGCCGCACGCCAGCGAGATTGCTGTCGACGTGGCCTGGTTCAGATCGGCCAAGGCAGCGCTGCGGGCCGCTCTGGCAGCCGAGGCGGGCGTGCTCTCGGCAGATGCTGCTGCCCTGGTGACGGCGCTTTCCTCGGTCAACCCGACACGGCCCGACCCGTCGGTGGACTATGACCTGTGGTCCGGCACCTTCTCGCTCGAGTCCGCCTCTCTCACACCGCCCGGCGGCGGCGTGGTGCAGTCTGGCGCTGCCGAGGTGGAGGTGACTCCCGACTCTCTGCATCTTTCCGCAGCCGTCCGTTCCGCGGTGGGGTCGGAGGACGAGCTCTCTCTCAGCCTGCGAGGCAGCCTGTCCGCGACCTGCTGCGACGAGCTCGAGCTGCGATGCGAGCCTCTAGCGCTCGAGGCTGCCGGAGAGAGCTGCGCAGAGGGAGAGGCGCTCGTTGATGCGGTCGCTGCGGCCACCGGCCTGTCGTTCCGGGCGGTGTCGGAGGCGCGCTGGGAGGCGGACGTGCCGACGCTCTATTTGGCGCAGCTCTTCCTCGATCAGGCGCTGCTAGCACAGCAGCCGCCTCTCCCAGTTCACATTGAGCGCGATTCATGCCGACCCCGCCCGCCCCTGCACCGCCGCAGGAGCTGCACGTGCTGCAGTGGAGCGCGGACTCGACCGCTGCCGGCGGCGAGGCGCGCGAGATGGGGGAGGCGAGCCATGCGGTGGATCCGGCGCGCCTGCTCGTGCTACTTCGACCGCGCTGACGCTGATGAGTGAGTAATCGAGCGCGGCGAGTCTCGAAGCTTCGCAAATTCTTTTTAGTCTCGCCCCTGCCCAGGCGAGCCATCGTTGATCGTTGATGAGGATGCGTGGAGGCTGGCTGCTGCTGCTGCCGGCAGCGGTCGCCATGCGCGTCGCTGTCCTCGGCGGTGGCCTCGCCGGGCTCGGGACGGCGGTGCCTCTGCTCGATGGCGGAGCTGATGAGGTGCACGTGTACGACGCGGAGGTCGGACCGGGCCTTGGCGGTGCCTCTGCGGTTGCTGCCGGTCTGCTCCATCCCTTCACGCCAAAGGGTCGCGAGATATGGATGGGACAGGAGGGCTTCGCTGCGACGTCTGCGCTGCTTCAGCGGTGCGAGGCAGTCAGCTCCGAGCGCGTCTCTGAGGCCAGCGGCTTGCTGCGCCTCGCTCTCGATCACGACCTGGCGAGCGAGCTCGAGCGCGCCAGTCGCGCTGGCGGCGCCGCTGCTGCTGCGCCCAGCGCCGCGCTCGAGCAGCGCTGGCTCTCTGCTTCCGACGCGAGCGCCATCGCCGGAGCTACGGTGGGCGCCGGGGTGGAGGGAGTCGCACACGCGCCGTCGGCGCTGCGCGTCGACACTCCGGCCTACCTGCGTGCGCTGTGGGCCCTGTGCGGCCGCATCGCCCGCGAGCGAGGAAGCGGGCTCGAGTGGCGGTGCAGCGCCCTCCCTTCTCTGGCGGCGGTGGCGGCGGCTGCGAGCGAGCGAGGGGAGGAGCCGTGAAGCGGCGTGGTGGCGCTCTTGCGGCAGGCGGGCCACCGAGAGCTCTCGGAGCCTGGCCCTAGGCGCCGTACGACGCTGTGGTGGTCTGCCTCGGCTCCCGCGCCTCCGACCTCGCCGAGCTGTCTGGCTTGCCGCTCCGGCCGTGCCGCGGCCAGAACTTGCACCTCGAGAACCGAGCCGGGTTGGAGACGCCGCTTATCTGCGGGAAGTACATCGTGCCGGCGGGGGAGGGGGGCGACCTGCTGCTCTGCGGCGCAACCTTCGAGTACGACCCGGAAGGGCTCCGCGAGCCTCCGAGCGAGGCCGAGGCGGCGGCGGCGCTGCTGGCGCCACTGGAGGAGAGGGGCGGAGAGGAAGGGAGTTGGTGTGGCGAGGCTTGTGCTAACGTCCCGGCCTCGCCTCGCACCGGCAGGAGATGCTGCCCTCGATCCGAGACGCGCCGATCGTGCGGTGCCGGGCCAGCCAGCCCGCACTGCAGCGTTGCCCTGTAGAGTGCTGACACCCTCCTCTGCTGAGTGTACAGGTGCGACGCCGGAGTCCGCGCCCTCCCTCCCCGCTCGCACTTCGGGTACGTGCCTCTCGTCTGCAAGCTGCCGGTCGAGGTGCGAGGTGCGAGGCGAGGGGACGGCGGCGGCAGGAGCGCGCTCGGAGGCGGTGGCTGCGCCGCCTGGCTGTTTGGCGGGCTCGGCTCGCGCGGCCTGATCCACCACGCGGTGCTCGGGCGATCCGTCGCGGAGGCGGTGCTCGCGTGCGACGAGAGCCGCCTGCCAGAGCACACGCGGCGCCTGGACGCACGGATGGGCGAATTGCTGGTAAGCCACTCTGACACTGGGCACTCTTCACACTGACACACTTACACTGTATATAATCTCCCAGATACGGCGCGGTACACAGAAAAACTCTCTTAGATGTCGATGTGCCGGGAGCCTACTTCACACATGACACTAATGCGAATCCACCGCTGGAGAGCAGCTCTTAAAGTTAATTTTTCTCGCCTCGCCCCACCAACTACGTTTTCACGCCTTTGGTTTCGAGTACAGCCATCGGTCGCCGTCGACCTCCTCGACAAACAGGTCGCCGCGCGTCTTCTTCTCCATCTGCTGGCGCCGCCACTCCTCGTTCCGGTCGCAGTCGACGAACCAGTGCTCGCCGACGGCGCCGCAGCCGACGCAGCGGTACGCGGCGGGCGCCCGCTCATAGCCATACGCAGCTCTGTGCCACACCTTTTCCTTTGCGTCGGGCGACATCGCCGCGTTTGCAGGGCTCGTCGAAGGCAGCACCACGAGCTCGACGGTCCGCTGCAACGCGCCGTCTCCGGCTGCCCTCTCTTTCTGCACGGCCGCCTCGATCTCCGAGCCGGTGGCCCGCCGGCAGTACTTTCCCAGCACGGAGGCGGTCTCGGCAGTGGCGGGGCTGGCGGTGCGGAGGACAAAGTCCCATCTCCGCCCGGCTGCCTCGCCTGTCTTGAGCCACGCAGCGTGGCCATTGGAGTGGCACAGGAAGGCGGCTGCAGTCTTGGCGATGCAGATTCGGCGGATCGTCGGGTGCTGGGAGAGGAGGCCGGGGATGTCGTTGGCCTCCATCGTAGACTTGTCGATGTCGCTGTCGAGGCTCCCCTTACCCAAACAGCTTCGCACCACGTCCCAAAGCACGCAGCCGCGCGCCGTGAAGGCCTCGCACTGCTTCTCGTAGCTCACTGCGTGCCGGCTGAAGCCGCACGCCGAGCCGGCGACGTTCCAGAAGATGTTTTGGCTGTGACCGTAGTTCTGCGGACCCGCTCCGCCACGCATCCGGACCTCCTTCTCGCTCAGGCTCTCGGCGAGGGACTTGCGGCTCGGATGCGTGCCGAGTATGAGCACCTCCGGCGGCACCGTGAGGCTGATGATCGGGAGAAGGCTGTGCGTCCGGACCGTGCTGGCGGGCGAGGTCGCGCTGCGCTTGGCGGGCGGGCGAGGCGACGCGGCAGCGCGCCTCTTCATGGAGGTGAGATGGGCCGGCGCTCGTGGCAGGCTTGGCGGCGGGACTGCTCTCGAGGTTGGCGCGCGGCGCGATGGTTTTTTCTGCGGATCTGGCCCGGACTTCTTGCGCTCGGAGGAGCAACGAGCGCCCTGGCGTGAGCCGAAGACACTCCCCTCCGTAGACACTGATCAGTGATCACACACGGGTGGGACAGGGTGGGTCACAACAACGAGGCACGAGAGCGTGCACGACAGAGCGACGGCGCAGCGTACCGCCGTCCAGCTAAAAAGCGGCGGCCGACGGTTGCTGCGCAAAGTGATCAGTTCTAAAATAGGTGCCGGGGCCCAACGGATAGATGAATCCGGGGCACCCTCCGCTCGAATCCCTGGCCGGGGGTTCGAGGTGGCCCCCACCCTGGGGCCTCCCATCAAAGGGACTGCGGCAGAAGACGCCCAATCTTGCACAAGTGCAAGAACCATACGTCTTCTGATAAACGCAGTGTATGGAAGATACAAAGAGACGGAGGAGCAACGAGCGCCCTGGCGTGAGCCGAAGACACTCCCAACTGCGCTCCGTCACCGGTGTCGCGGTCTCCCCCACTGAGGGCGATCTGCGGGGGGGAGTCGCGCCGCCGGCATGTATCTGTGCAACTGTGTGTTTTGCCTTGTCCCGTTTGATGGAGCAAAGTCACGGGCCGCCCGCGCTTGAAGGCGGTCGCGCCAGGCGCGGGCGGCACTAGTTGCCGGCGATCCGCTTGGGCAGCGCCCACGCTTGCCTCTGGCTGCGTCTCCATAGGTCGCGCGGCCCGAATGCTCGAATTGAACGTCTCGCAAGCTGGCGTCGCTCGCGTAGCTGTGGCAGGGCGATCCTTCCCCAGCGCGGTCGTGCCGCGCGCGCAGAAGTAGTCGAACTTCGCGTTGGCGGGCTGTGCATGTCGCAGCAGGGCGCGGTGCTCCTGCCCGCTCTCCTCCAGTTGCTGCTTGAGCACCTCCGACGCTAGGTCGAGGTGCGCCTCGAGCTCGGTACCCTCCTTGTACGCGCCTTGGTCGATGAAGTCGATGATCACACCCAGCAAGCCAACGAGTGGAAGGTGTGGTGGGTACTGCTCGGGTTCGCATTGAAGCCGCGAGCGGTGAAGAAGGGGCCCCAGAAGGCTTGGACCCGGCGGAGCACGTGAGCGTCGCGAAACTGCGCCGACACCGCCACGGCCTCGACCATGTGCCCCTTCTTGTTTGCCTTGAGCGCCGCGGGCTCGCTCGCGCCTCCCGGGGCGTTGTAGAGGTCGACCGACGCGTAGTGGCCCCGTAGCATCAGCTCGTGCTTGGGCATCAGCGGCGGGTCGGCGAAGCGAGTAAGCGATGTGGTCTTGGCGGCGACGCGCTGCGCGTGCATCAGCCTCTCGGTCTCCCCCAAGGAAAAGTCCTCCAGGCCGGGCGGGACGCTGCCATTCTCCATCGCGACGACCGACCCGAGGTAGCGTCCGAGATGGTGACGCACTCCTTGGATCACGCCGAAGATCTCGTGCTTGGTGGCAAGCGCGGCCTCCTGGAAGATCACGTAGCGCTGCAAGATCATTGAATCGCTCAGGAACACCTCCTTGATGACCTCCAGCGGGCCAGTCGGGGTGGAGAGGTCGATGCTGCCAATCTTGCGGACCGCGTTCTGGAAAGGGGCGCTGTGGATGGCTTCTCGGAGTGAGTTGTCCGGAAGGCCAGCAGGCGCGCGGTCGAACTTGCCCAACGCCGAGACAGTCCTCGGAGTCGCCTGTCGAAGTCATGACTGGCGCCTTCCTCGAGGGCTCGAGCGATTCGTGAAGCTTGCGCAACCCCGCCAGGATCGAGGCGAACGGCTTGCCGTTGGTCAGCGCGTGTTGGTAGGTGGGCAGCCGCGCGTGAAGCTGAGCATCCAGATCAGTCAGGAGCAGGTCCATAGGGCGCCGATCCGTCGGAAAGTAGAGCGAGACGAGCTGCCGGTAGGCTTCATAAACGACCGACGGGGGCGTTGGCCGAGGCAGCGCACGGAGCAGGGAGTCGAGCGTCGGCGCCTTGGCTGCAATAGCGCGCGAGCAACGCTGCTCGGCCACTCGGTCGCGCGCCACGGCGGTCCCGCCCACATACTCGGCGCGAGTCTCAACCTCCGCAGAGTAGTTCTGAAAGGAGTTGGTCCTCAGGCAGGCCGGGAAACTCGAGCGGGTAGTCTTCAGCATGCTGAGCACATGCCGGGAGAGCAGGGCGGGATGCCCATCGCTCGCTCGCGGCGTGATGTGACCAGCGGCGGCGGCGAGCGATGCAGCCCCCACGACGGCGCTCCCCATGGGATCGACGCGCGCCGCCGCCGTGAAGACGGGCCCCAAGCAGCGGGTCATGTCAGACAGGGCTGCGAACGGGACGTCGGCCGTAGGGTCGCAAAGAGCCCCGACCGTCGCGTACTGCAAGAAGTCGACGGCCTTCGCTTCTGCAGATGGCGCTGGTCCCAAGGGCACGATAGCCTCAGAGTACCCCAAATCGCCCCACTGCAGATAGAGCTCGGGCACCGGGATTTGGCGGGAGTGCAGAGCCTGGATGCACACCGTACGGAACGCATCCTCATCCACGTGCACCGTGCTGAAAACGCCGAGGTCGGACAAGGCACCGAGGATGCGGCGCCAAGCCGCGGCCAATACGGCCAGCCGCAAGACGCTGAGCCTGTCAAAGTGGGTGGCCACAGCGGGCTCGGGCTCACTGAAGGGGAGCAGCGCACTGATGGCGACCCACTGCGGAATCTGGACCCACGACGGTTGCATCCCCGGAGGAGGAGGGGGCAGCTGGAGGAGGGCCGGATTGCCCACCACAGACCACGGAATGAAGCGCAGGGTAGAGCCTACCACTGTTGAGTCGACGGGTATCACCAGTGGCTTTGCGGGATCGGGGTGCTGCTCGGCCGGAATGCTGAGCTCGGCGGCAGTGAGGTCTGGCATCGCGGCGCCGGTCGTCTCGTCGAGGGCTACCTCTCGACTCTACTCCCGTGTCACAACAACGAGGCACGAGAGCGTGCACGACAGAGCGACGGCGCAGCGTACCGCCGTCCGCTAAAAAGCGGCGGCCGACGGTTGCTGCGCAAAGTGATCAGTTCTAAAATAGGTGCCGGGGCCCAACGGATAGATGAATCCGGGGCACCCTCCGCTCGAATCCCTGGCCGGGGGTTCGAGGTGGCCCCCACCCTGGGGCCTCCCATCAAAGGGACTGCGGCAGAAGACGCCCAATCTTGCACAAGTGCAAGAACCATACCTCTCCACTTCTCGAGAGCCACTTCGTCGGAGGAAATAGAAAAAGAAAATCCCGCATCCCATTACGTCGCCGCTCTCGCCGCGCTCGCCACTCTCGCCGCCGCTATCGCGCATGTCGCTCTCGCGCCGCGGCTGACCAACCGGCGTAACGTCGTGAGAGCCTAAAGGTGCCTCCTTCCCGCCCTCTCAAGAAACCTCGCGCAGCCCCCGCCCCACGCCTCGCACCCTACCAAGGACGAATTACCTCGCGTCCGCTCTCGCCGGTCGCGTGGTCCAGACACCTTGGAAGATCAGCAGCCCCGCCGCTCCATCGCGGCGTCCTGTCGCGCGCGGGCGGGGTGTGCGCGCGGTCCTTAAGATTGCCGTCCAGCCGCGGATGCCGAGGCCCGCTTGCGGCGCCCGGCCAGTCGGGGCGGCCCTGCCGCCTCCATTGGACGCATACGAGTCATAACCGCCCGGCATTCCTCCGCCACTCCACCACGAGGCGCCGAGATGCAACTCGCGACTCGGTGACACCTCTCCCCCCACGCAGGACGACGCGGAGACGCGCTGCGCTCTCGGCGGCCGTCGATCCACGAGGCCGGCTCACACCCGGTGCGGAGCCATAGCGCGACCACTCTTTCCCAAAGCAGCTCCCAGCAGCCAGGCCTGCGCATGACGACCCCCTCCGTACGACAATACTAACCGTGGAGTCTTTCCAAAGCTCTTTCGCTCCTATCGGACGCAGCGCCTCCCTGCAGACCGTCCCCACGCCCTCGGGCCGCAGACAGCAGCCCTTCTCACCTCAGCGCCCTCCCCGCCCGCAGGGACTGCTCCACGAGGCGTTTGAGCTTGAGGGCCAACGGCGACGCTCTCGAGGGACGTCACACCCTCGACGTGTCGACGATGGCCTCGCGAAGCCTCGCCTGAGCCGAACCCACGCGGCGCGCGTCGCGCCACACACGACGTTAACACACGAAGAAAAAGAGCTTGATGGACATTGCGTCATTGGTTTCGAGCGAGACCGTCTCATGCGAAAATCATAGCCGTACTCCTCGCGAGAGTTCCCTATCTATTCCTCCGCGCCCCTTCTCTCTCCCCGCGCGGCGCGGGCGCGCCGGCCGGCGCGGCCGCCGCTAACCGGCTAGCGCCGCCCACACGGCTCACGGCGGTCGGCGCTCCCGCTTCTCGCGGCCTTCCGTGGCGGTCAGCACTTTTCCGCCCGAGGACTCGCGCGCCTCTCGCCAGACTCCACAGCTGACGTCAGCTGGGAGGTGGGCCGCTGGCCAGCTGGGGCCGTGACGCCGTGTGGGGGCATCCCCCGATCCCCCCGCGCCCCGGCCCCCCGCACCCAAGTCGATGTGAGCTCACGGAGGGGGCGTGTGCGCATCATAGGCATCATACACACCACAGTCACGCAGAAACGGAGAAATTTTGTCTTTTGAGTTTTGAGCGATTGTGGATTGAGCCCGCGTTCAATGATGGTTGATGCGGGACCCACAGATTATCCGTTAATGTTATGTAAAAGATCTGTGGATGTACCGTAAAAAAACGATAACGCCGACGACGGACGTGCCGGACGAGCCCCCCCTCGCGACGCGTGGGCAGCCTGGACGTCGATATCTCGCACCTCTCTCGGCCGCCTTTCGCGCCGCGAGAGGCGCGGGAGTGGAAGGAGAAGAGTGGTGCCGCTGTGCTGAATGCCCCCCGTGCCCCGAAGGAATCGATGTCCTTCTGCAATCGGGGTGCGAACTTTTCTTCAGTCGGACGTCCCTCCTAGTTCGCCAGTCCGACGTCGGCCACTGCCTGGTAATGGACACTGAACGGGTCAACACCGTCGAGCCCGAGCAGGGCGAGCTGGACCTTGCCTCGTTGCACACCCTAGCCACGCTCGCCAACCAGCAGGGCGCCACCATGAGCGCAGCAGCCCTCTTCCTGCTCTCAGCCACCTGGGGCGGGACGCTGACCGCTCACATCTCCGCGGCCAACATGCTCTTCAAGCTCGGGGAAGCGCGGAGGGCGTGTGCCGAGTACGAGGTGCTCTTGGCCCACGAAGATAAACACCCCGGATCCATGAGCACGACCGTGCGGCAACTGGTCGAGCGCAAACGAGGTGAGGCTCGCGCCGCTCTGGCCGCCGGCACCACCACAGCCTCTGCACCGACCACCGCGCGGACGCAGCAGAAGTGGTGGCGGACCTGCGGTGGGCAAAAGAAGCTGGCAGACAAAGTGACAAAGCAGCTCACCTCGCTCGGCGCGGGAGCGAATGATGGAGGCGACTATGCTCTGGCACGCATCGCATACGCTGCTGCATTCGCGCTCACCGGACGAGGGACGCTGCGCATCTCTGCCGCAAACATGACCCTCAAAATTGGTGGGGAGGAGAATCTGCGCGCTGCAATCGAGGAGTATGACTGCATCGTTGCAGAGGCAGGCCGCGATCTATCGGCTGCGCACGCCGAGATGATTCGTCGAAAGCGGGCCGAAGCCGAGGCACAGATGGCGCTCGAGGCGGTGCCGTTTGTGCGGCCGTCGGTGATGGGCGATCTCCCAGCAATGCCTCGCATGACGCGCATGACACGCGGATCCGTGGCGTGGCTGCCTGTCCCGGCTGATGATGAGGGTGAACCCGCCGCCGTCGGGGCTGCCCCGGATGCAGCCGCGACAGAGGTGACGCCTCTCCCGGAGAAAACGGCTGTCAAGTTTGCCGACAACGTGGGCGCGCCGGAGGAGACAGGCAAGGCTGAGACAGTAACGGGTGCGGACCAGACTGAAGAGCAGGCGGCGGAGGCCGCGATTCTCGTGGCCACGCGCGTCGCTCGGGCGAGGAGGGCCAGCGCGTCTGCCTCCAACTTGATGGCGGAGACGACCGTCCAAGATCGGCTTGCGCGTGCGAGGAGTAACGCTGAGGCGGCCGCGGGGGAGGCTGAGTATGAGACGGAGGGCCCCGTCCAGGCTGTTGAGGAATAGGCATGTGCATGTACACGTCGATCGTCGAGGGTTATATATGGAGGGAGGAGAAAAGCGACGGCCGATGCAGATCGGAGATCCAGATGGGATTTTGTCCTTTTGACTTTCCGTGTGACGAATGAAGTGTGAGACGCGAGACCACAAGACTAGTACAGGTTCGAGATCGACAGGCATCTCAGCTTGCGGGCACGTACGCGGTACGGTTTTACGCGGGGCGCGCCTTTCTACCCGCGCCTAGACCCGCACACGGACGTGGGTGAGGGGGTGGCCAGCGGAGCGGCAGCGCGAGAGGAGGCCGCACACAAACCCCCACAGCCACACACCACATCGTCTCCCGACAAGAGCTACATCTCGAGCTTCCATTCGCGCGCCCCCCCCCTCTCCCCTTCATACGTACGGTGGTCTCACACATCTCGTAATCAACACGGACAGACAGGAGAGCTTCGCCTGCTCCCGCGCGCCGCCCTCTCCTCAGCCCTTGAGGCCGAGCCGTCCGAGTGCGAGCGCGAGCAGGTTGGCGGCTGGCTTCTCGGCGAGCAGCCAGAGGAGGAGGGCGAGCAGCGAGGCCCAGGCGAGGAAGCTCGTGAAAGACTTTGCGAACCAGATGTCCGAGAACTCGATCGGCGCGGTGGTCGAGTAGTTGACGCCGTACATGACGACGGGGTGGACAATGTAGGCGGCGAAGGTGAGCTTGCCGAAGACCTGCAGCGGCCACCAGGAGAGGAGGCCGTTGACGAGCGGCGCCTGGCCCGAGAAGCAGAGGTAGGCGACGGCGGAGAGGCCGACTGGCCAGCCGAGCCGAGAGAGGGCGATGTACGACACGTTCTGCGCCTCGCTCCACGGGGAGGGGAGCGCCGAGTAGAGGCCGAGCGTGCCGAAGGAGAG